AGGGATCCGGATTCCTTTGTGGCAGGTGGTCTTCACCGTAATTCAGCCGCCTGGGAGCTGGTACTTGAGGGTCATCCGTTGAGGAACTGTATTCTAGATTGGATTAGAAATAAAGTCGACATCTTAAGTTTTTCAAGACCTTTTGCGGGAGTTTTCAAGAGAGCTAAATATTCGTCTACTGTTCCACCTAAGAAGATTTTCCCGAATCATGTAAACTGTAAAAATTTTACGGAATTTATATCCAAGGAGATTCGGAATCGTGTTTTAACCGGCGCTGTTAGAGTCTGGGGGGTAGTGGGTGTCGATGATCCCCCCCATCTTGTGTTGCCACTCACGGTTGAACCTACGAAGCCTCGACTTTGTATTGACGCGAGGTTTCTAAACCTTTGGATGAAAGATATGCCGTTTTCCCTGGATAAACTGAGTGAAGTGACTAGGTATGTTTACCCCGGATCGTTCATGACCAAGTGCGACGACAAGTCCGGGTATGATCACGTGATGTTGACAGAGTCCTCGCAATCATACTTTGGGTTTAGTTTTGGTGGCCTGTGGTTTGTTTGTACGACTCTTCCGTTCGGATGGAAAATCTCCCCTTATGTTTATCATACTATTGGTCTGGCCGCCACAGGTTTCTTGAGAGCTCAAGGGATTCCTTGTTCTCTCTATATAGACGATCGCTTAAATGGAGAGCTTTTGCGACCGACTGGGTCTTGGTCCATATTACCAGCGGACAGATCTTTGCAGTTCAGGTTGCTGGCAGCTACAGGTGCCATATTCGTTGTTCTTTCTGTGTTGGTTGATCTCGGTTATACCATTGGTATCAAGAAGTCGGTTCTTGTGCCGGTCACATCCCTGGGGTATTTGGGTCTGATCGTGGATTCCGTTCGACAATCGTTTTTGGTGCCGCGCCGTAAGATTGAGTCCTGGGCCTTAATTAGGGAGAAAATTCTTGCCTGCAAGAAAACTGTTTGGATCAAAACTTTACAACGATTCCAGGGGAAATGCATATCTTTCTCTTTGGCTGTTCCAGCCGCGAAATTGTTCTTTAGAGAAATGAGTAGAGCGATCGCTTCTGGCTTGGATGATGGGCAAGTGTCTATGACCGACGCTTTGAGAGAGGAAATTTCGCATTGGCGTTACCTTGACGACTGGAAGGACACTCTTCCGTGGAGAGACGAGAAGCATGTGCGTATTGCGATTTCTACCGATGCGTCCGGTTATGGGTGGGGTTGTGCAGTTCATTCACCTTCGGATGATCAGATTTTTCGAGATTATTGGAGTCAAGAGGAACTGTGTCTCGATATTTCTACAAAGGAGATGTTAGCTTTGTTGTATGCTATTAAAGCTCTTCCCGACGGAATTAAGGATTGCCGAATTGATGCTTCTATTGACAGTATGGCAGTATTAGGTGCGTGGCAGGGGTCTGGCAGTAGGAGATCCCCCCAGTTAACGTCAGCTACAAAACGACTTTATTTTGCTCTATCTTCTCGTAATGTTCAGTTGAACTTATCCTATGTACCATCTAAGGAAAATGTGGCCGATTTTCCGTCTAGGACAATGTCACGTGTGGATTCCAAATTGTCAATGTCAGCTTTTGAGAGGGTCGATAAAGAGTTTGGTGGAGTTGAAGGTCATTTGTTTGACTTGATGTCTTTGGACTCAAATGTAATGAAGAACAAAGATGGGTTTTCCTTGCCGCATTTTACTCCTTTTCCAAGCCCAGACTCCAACGGTGTGAAAGTCTTCAGTCAAGAATTGCGGGTTTTTCCGTCCATGTCCAATCCTTATGTCTTCCCGCCATTTTCTTTGATTGGTCCACTGTTGAAGTTTCTCTTGAGTTTTGAGATCCCGTTCACTATTGTGGTTCCAGAGTTTGTTCCTTATCGCTATTGGTGGGTTGAATTGAACGCAAGGTGTTCTGGGAAAATTTGTCTTGGTACACAGGGTGACTTGAGTGTTCTGCTATCCCCATCAAAGTCGGGTTATACCGGTAGTCCAACACCTTGTCCCTTTTCTATGTGGGCGTTTCGCGTGTCTCGGTTCTAGGTGTAGAGTCGGGCTCATTGTTTGTTTCGTTTTTGTTCCCTACAGACAATGCCTAGAGTTCCGAAGTTATTCACTCCCTGCGTTGCGTGCCCACGATGCTCACCTCCGAACGATGAGGATTTCAATTTCTGTCAGAAATGTGGTTATGTTAGACGTGCTACAATCCAAGGACCACTAAAGAAATTGGATATTGATGAAGGCAGCATTGCCCAACGAGTACGCGAGTTGAATGAGTAACGTAGTTCGTCTCGTTATTCTAAACAGAAATCAGCTCTGGAATTGGAGTTTATAAATTTTCTGGTAAACTTGTCAGTCCCCAAGTCTTTGTCGTCAGCGCTTCCTTCGGATGTTATTGCGTTCCTTGTGTGGAAGGATGGAAAGGGAAGGACACGAGTTCATAGACAGGATTGTCACACCTGGGGAGGTAATGTGGGGCTAGATTGTGAGTGCCCTAAACGTTTGGCATTTGGGACTATAGATTCACTGATTGGCAAGTTGCGTGCTATATTTGCAGAGAGTGGTCGAGGCGCAGAATGGCAGTCTTTGTTAGGTGTAGGTAATCCAGCTTCTTGTAGGTCAGTTAAGAATTATTCGAGTAATGTGCGGGAAGAACAACTAAAGGCTAGGGTAACTCCACGCCAGGCAGAGCCTATCTTAGTGAACGATTTGTTGGTTATCTCTGAATACATTAGAGCCCTTTTGTTGCATTCTTCGACTTTGCGCGCAATCCAGATTTTTATGTATGCCCGCGATCAGGCTTTATTTAAGGCATTATCTTTTGCTGGTGATAGAGCAGCTGATTTGTTACAAGTAAAAGTATCTGATGTTTTACGTTTCTCGGATAATTCTGGTTTGTTGTTCAATCATGTTTGGACAAAGTCTCTCAGGTCAGGTGACGCAAATGTGTTTGCCTTTAAGCGGGGATCTAATCCTTTGATTTGTCCTGTCCGGGGTTTGGAAATGTATTTTGATGTGTGTAAGCTGTTACGTATTAACCTTGCGCCAGGTTTCCTTTTTCGCTCTATTTCAAAATCTGGCGGAGTTTGTTTCAGCCATTTGGAGTCTTCGGCGGCTCAAGCATGATTGAGTTTTTATGTTTCCGCGCTAGTTGGGAAGTTATCTAGTAGTCATTTAACAGTTCATGGGTTTCACAGTGGGGCGGCTGTATCTTTAGCATTGCGAAGCGTAAGTCTCAGTGAAATCATGGACCACATTGGCTGGAAATCTAGTAAGACGGCGCTTCACTATATCAAACTTAAGCAAGTAGTGAATCCAGTAGGTGTGGCGGCTAAACTAGCGGATCTCCCCTTACAAGCGGGGCAGTACTACAAACATCAGGATCATCTTGTGGGATTCTCCCAAGCTTTTTCATGAATTTATTTTATTGAAGTTTTGAACTATTATAGTATAGGTTATTGTAAATGATTAGATATAGTATGTATTAAGTAAGGATTGGAAAGAGGATTAAAGAGTTCTTTGTGTTTCTTTTCTTAGGGTGTGTGATTGTTCATTTCATATGAGTGTGGGTGTAGGCTTGGGAAGGCCAGAGCGATTCTCCATACCTTATTACCATCTCACGAATAACAATACCTAGGGAGGAATATTACACTATGCTAACTCAATTAGCATTGGTAATTAGTCCCTAGGGATTTTGGATATAATAGATTGTTTTGTATCACTCCTCGTCACTTCACTTGAGGCCTTGGGCTGTGTTCTGCGCATCGAAGCGTTTTCCCACCCACCCCACCCCCAGTCGGATTGATCCGTCTCACCATCACCCCTTCACCTGGCTTGGGCTTTCCCGGCCAGAGCGATTCTCCATACCTTATTACCATCTCATGAATAACAATACCTAGGGAGGAATATTACATTATTTTAACTGATCATCCCTCGTATTCTCTTCCAATGACATCTGGTGCTACTGACAATCTCTTGAACAACAACTTGCCACCAGCAACATTACAGTCATCCATTCTGTCATTAGTACTAACTATTGGGCCACTTCACATTTCCTTAAACAGCAAAGAACATATTGTTCATTCCTATCATCCGTTTTTCAAAACAGTATATGAAACAATTTTCCCAAGAAGCAAAATGGCAGATAATCCCAAACCCTGGAGAATTAGTCTGATTCTTGAGATTGTGTAAGGTGGTTGGACACTTGTACGCCGCACTGTGATGGCAAAGTTCTCCCGGCTCAAGATGCAGAGTATGGGACCCTTTTCACTTTACTAGACAGCTTTATACCTTTGGTGTTGTCGATATACAGCATTTCTTTCAAACTTAACAATTTCTCTGGGTATTTTAGAGCAATGATCAGGATTTGGATCATGTTTACTTGCCTCCAACGCCAGTAGTATAGGGCGTCTCCATAGGAAACAAAGGGATGCTGCCATCAATTAACATAAATAACAAAGGATTCAAGATGGCCTCTAAGTCCCATAGGGAGGATTCAAGATGACGTCTAAGTCCCTTAGGGAGGATTCAAGATAGCGGCGGAGACGTCATCGAAGATGACATCATTCATGTTGGTGGTTTAATATCTTCCACACTGGGGATTTTTGACCACCCCACCTGTTTTTGGTCACGCGCGCAAAGATTTGTGGGTAGCGCACAGGACCATTCAACACTGGACTTTGAAGAGATCTGGTACCTACATGTGACTCCCACCAGGTTTGTGTTGTCCGCCATTTGCAAAACAACAAGGTAAGCTTTAATTTGATACCAAATTCGACTATTTTAGAGACGTGTTCGATTTTTTCTCTTTATCTAAAAGTAGAAGATGATTAGTATGACTTTTTGGAGATTTTTGGCTGTGTTTGAGGTTAATTTTACCGCTTTTAGTGTTGATTTACGCTAAATGAAATCGATAGGATTTTAGCCTGTTGTATTGACTATTTACACGGAAAATTTGGCTGACATTGTTCTTGTTTTACCAAAGTTACACCGGCGAGATGTCGGGGACCTCACGTTTTCCCATTGGAGAGTGGGCACGGCAAAGGAAGGAGAAACGACAGGTTTTAGTTGAAGCGAATAAGTCTATTCAAGACTTGGAGGGAAAAATTACAGAGCTAAAGAGAAAGGTACGTAATGTTGTGAAAATAATCGATCTTTGGTTTTGTGATTACCTACTGATACTCAGATTATTTTCATCGAAGGAGACTTTTCGATTTAAAATGCAAAATATCAAGATTAGAAGTGTAAAATAGTTTTAGGGAGCCACCTGTTCAATTATTTGTTTTACAAATATGATATTGCATGCTGATAAATATCATGATTAATGAATAAGATGGTGAACAAATTTGTTTTCAAAATATTTATGAGTAATTTCTTAGAGATCGATTTTGTAATAAAAACAAACTACATGTAGCAATGCACTTGTGCACAAAATTTGTGCAGAGCCATAATTATAGCAAATCAGTATTTTGGTGTTTTAAATGACATAATCAATTTATTATTTTAGTGTTTACAATTTTAAAATCACATTTTCACCTCTTGCTTTTTTTTTCTCTCTCTCTATAGCGAGGGTTATTAGAAAATGAAATAGTGCACCTGCCAAGAGGACAACATGTTGTAACACCGACCACTCTAGATGAAAACAACAGTGACAAGTGTGTTGGTTTGTCACACAACATTTCAGCTAAGAGAAGAAAGCTTACGTATGATTGTGCCAAGAAAGTTCACTCTACGCCAAGTACAGAACCTGAAGGTCAATGTGCAACTGCCAATGGACTTTGGAGCACCTTGGTTAAAAACTGTAAAACTAAAGTAGTCATTGATGTACTGAAAAAGTCAAAAACTGTTTGTAAAACAGTTGTCCCACAGATTGTGGCTAAATCTGTAGCTAAATTTGAAAAGTCCTCAACAAATTTTCTCAGGTCTGTAAGTGTGCTATACAGGGGTGGAATTCTTAGTAAGAGAAAATATTGTAATATAAGATCTTCAGAAGTCTTTGATTATGACATCCCAACAAAGAAGCGAAAGCGCACAGAGTTTAAAGAGGGTTGTAGATTACCTGCACTTGTACCTTACAAGGAGCTGATGAAATTTATAGAGGTACAAGATATTGGAAAACTTCATAGCATACCGCAGGCTACTGCTGAGAGTGACGTAGAAAAGGAAAACGAAGAAGTTGATGGCAACTTACTGCCAGTGATCCCTGGGTATTATATTGACCTTAAAGAGCGTTTACTCCAAATGGCAGACCTCTACCTTCACATAGATAGCCATATATCTAATTTTCTTACATGGTTTGGTAAACAGAAGGGTCATTTTTTAGTAGCAATGGGTGCAGATGGTGCCCTTTTGGTAAGGCTAATGAGGCTTGTGCATGGCTTGTTTCATTTTTGAATGTTTCAGAAAGAGTTGCCTCACCAGATGATAATTTTTTTGATTTGTGGTGCCAACTGTAAAGAAGATCACCCTGCCATGGTAGAATATGGGAAACAACTTAGATCAGAGATGGCCACGATTGCAAGTCAAACTTTTTCAGTAAAAATCAGCAGGTTAAGTTTGAATTTAAACTTGTTCCATCAGATATGAAGTGGCTAGCAAAATTTTCTGGAGAACTGAGCAATGCTGCTAAATACCCATGTTCTTTTGCAAATGTGCAACTTAGTGAATTACAGGAAAGAGGGCAAAGCTTGAGTAACAATCCTCAAAGTAAGTGGAGGCCATGGGAATATAAATTCAGGGAAGAAGTTGCCAAAAAGGTGACACAATTTAAAGAAAAACAGGCAAGGCCAATTAATGCTGCTCAAGAGCAGACATTGCGTACCAAAGTATGCAACCACATAGCAAGCCTTAAATCTAGACAAGAATTTGAGCCAATTCTTGGTCCAGTTATTCAAAATGCAAAATGTGATAATCTTCATGTGGGAAATAATTGTTGGGGGCATTGGCATAAGTTGCTTTTCACCCATGTTTTGGCTAAAGCAAAGATTCCCACCAGTACAAAGTCTGTTTTTCAATTGCCAGAAGATAACTCATTGCGTAAGCATTTGAAGGCTCTCCGGTTTAAATTAAAGTGCAAGAAGATGTATAATAAGATTTTGCAATGGTTTAAAGAGAAACGAAAGACATCTCCTTTTGAATTTCGGTTCACTGGGGAGGAAACTAAGAAATTTTGTGATGGCTTTATGTATCTTGTTGAAGCTCAAATTGAGGAGGGTGACATTGAGCAAGCCAAGAGCTTTTTTTGTGTTATCTCTTGGGAGAATGGGTCTTCACCTAAGGAACAGCTTGTCCCTTGCTAGTAGGGTCTCCAATATTAGTTACAGTGATCTACCAAAGTTAGAGCAGGATTGCACACAATATTTTAATCTAACATCATTATTTCACTCTGCAAATCTCAGTGTTTGGGCAATGGGCTACTGTGTGCCATTTCATACTAAACAGCTTTTTGAAGATTGGTGTGGGTTTAGGAATTAATTCAATGCAGGGAAGAGAGTCTAAACACCAGCAACTTGCTTCGTTTGCTAGTTTTTCCCTTGTAAAACACAGATGGGCTAAAGTGTTTAGACATGAGCACATGTCCAACATTTGGATAAGGCAACAGAATCCATTTCATGATACCTATAAGAAATGTAAAGACACATATGTGCCAAAGCGGTGCAGCACTGCAGGATATTGTTCATGTGGTATGCCTTTAAGCACTGCAAGTGCATGCATGTACTGCTCATGTGAAATTTCAAAAGAAATTATTGCTTGTGGTTCAGCAGGGAAACTAACAGTAAAGATGAAACAAATTCTTGCTGAAGCTCAAAAATGAAAAGTTTCTGTGAAGCTTGGCTGGATAACATCAGATTAAGGGTGTTCAAAGGTGGTGGCTAGACAATTAAATATTGAGATAGTAAGATGTTTTTCTGAGGAGAGTTCATTTATAACAAAAGCTGTAATGTTTTGGTGTTTAAGGTTATAATGTTCTTGTTAGTTCATTAAAATTACATTCCACATGGACCATAAGTGCTATTATTTTGTGTTATACATGTACATACCCCTAAAAGAAAAGTTACATCTACTCTTGATCACAAAATACACAAATTGGCCATTGCAGTAGACCCCTTCGATATATTAAATTCAGCTTGGCAGTGAGGCTTAAAGGACACAAAGGGAATTGAACAATCATGTTTGTTTGTACTGTTTTTTTTGTTTGTGTCTTCTAGTCCTCAATATAATAATCTTTGTTAAACACAACAGGAACTAAAAAAAGAAGCTACAGAACGTTCATCGATTTCAAATAAACTGAGGAACTCCTTCTTCATTCCAGACACCATAATGACACTTAATTTGAACCATTTCTGTGGAGTAAATGTACTTAAGCTGGAAAGGCCTATTGGCATCCACAAGAATATCAGTGTGTCCCTTGCCTTTAATGCTTCTTTTAAACCCCACCTCTCCAGTCATTTGTCCCTCTGAAAACCATCGCTCCAGCTTTCTTTTGTGAGATACTTTAATGACTTTTTCTTTTACTTCGCCGTTTCTCTTTAGATGATTTTGGATGTTTACTCCATACATAGATGTGCAAGTGAGGATTTCCACTAAATGATCGAATATCTCCTTATGAAGTCTGTAACTGAATTCTACAATCCATGGATTGGAATGTTTGGCCACAAAAATTCCCTTCTAATAATAGACCTTTTCCAGTTGTCAAGCTCGCGGCAGGCCATGTCGTCCAAATTACAGGAAGACACTGTTAGTTTATCTCGATCAGATCTCCGTGAGTAGGACTTTAAGGAATCTTCTTTCAATCGGTTCAACTCTTTAAACAAATCCTGGACCGCAAGCTTCTCAGAAACCGCTTCAGATGGCAAGGACGTCCAATATTTGGACTCGGTTTTTTCGTAGAAACTTCCAATCTCGTCAGAAAGACCTCTTATTATCTCGATATTTAATTCTCTGGCGGCCATCTTTGGTCAACCTCGCTCTCATGTTATCCAGCCGGGCGGCATAGCAGGCAGCCTCAATCTGGTGATAGGACAAATTCACACCAAAAATCCCCAGTGTGTTCATAATATGAGGGTGTAGGTGGGGTAAAAATTAGTTCACAGCCTCCCTAGAGGAATGTAATGTGTACCTGTATGTTCATGTAACACATAAATCATCATGATGAGATATATATCTATGTCAAGACCTCACTTCCCATCCATGTGGGAGATGTTACAACACTTTACGCATGCGCAGTGTGAGATGTCTGTCAGAGACTTTACGCATGCGCAGTGTAAGATTTTGTCTGACAAAGATGGTTGTTCGGGGCTGCCTGAGGCTGCCCAAGGCTGCCCTAACCTATAGGGGATTACATGAAGGCTGCCTGAGGCTGCCTATGTATGATCCTGATTTCCAAGGTAAAGATAACGTTCCTGATACACCGATGCATGACAATTTTGGAGGAGAACCACCCAAGTTTGATGTGAATGAGCCACGAATAGCTGTGGATTATATCAAACCAGAACACCATATCCCTCCTAAATCAAAGCCTGCCAAGTCACAGCCGCCATTGAAAGAGTTGAACAAACTGGTAGAAACTATCAAGACAGAATCGACGACAGAGAAGACTGAGGTAGAAGTGCTAGAAGAAGGCGAGATTCCACAGGATTCTGGTACAGGTACGTATCAGTATTCCTCCTTGGATAAGTTACTGGACAGTGTGGAAGTCAGTTATCCATGTCTGATCCACCAGACCATGATGGATGTATTGAAATCTAAAAAAGAAGATTGTGACGATGTATTCCTACGTTACTCGTCCGCCCGTTGCCCAGTATTTTGTAATCTCAGTGATTACAACCATTATTACTATGAATGTCAAAGACAGGGTCACCCCTGGTTCACCCTGGACAGAATCGACAAGATGGTGTGCGAATGTGGAATGACTCCCACATTGTCTTTGACTCAATCAGAAACAAATTATGGCAAAATGTATTTGTGATGCAGTCGACATAACTGTGATCTTTTTACCTGGTGGCGATTTAAACCCAACAAGAGGTCAGTGCAAATTCTTACGGATGGATGTGAATGATTCATTTCAGGACTAGATGTCAAGATTACATTTGCTGATTTATTAGAAGCCCTTTTTCCTTCACTTCAAAGAAAGTAATAAGAGTCAAATGTATTAATTTTTTAGGCATAGTGTTCATTCAAACTTTTCTTTCACCATATGTAAAAATACACATGTTTTTTAGTTGTAATTCCAAGTTTTGTTAATTTTTTTTTGTAGATGGGATAAGAACAGACCATCTTGAAATTTCACGGTTGATGGGTAGAAACACAAAGCTAGATACATTGTCTATGGACGATCATGTTGAAATCGCTTGGTTGATCGGTATGTCTAAGTTTAGAAAATTAGCTAGACGCTTAGGATTGTCGGATAAAGACTTAGAATGTATTGCTTGTGATGTACAGTTTTTAGAAGATAATATGGATAAATAAATAAAAGTTGTATCACCGAAAACACTGTGTCATTTGTCTGTGTCAATCATGAGGCGTGTAAGACGGTCACTGATTAAAAGAAGAAAACGCAATCAACGTGGGGGTGCTTCTGTGAGTTGGGTTAAGAAAATTCTTCGTAGAGGTCCCTCTCTTACCGATAAATTAGCTTACGCAGCCAGTATGTTGTTATCGGGTCCTGCACCAGGTTTTGGAACACTTGGTAAACTTCTTGTCAATTGGCACAGGTCACAAAAAGGTCAGGGAAAATAAAATTTCTTAAAGCTGGTCAGGGAATTTTTGAGTCATGGAAAATTGGCATTATAAAGAAAAGTCAAGGAAAATTGGCATTATAAAGAAAAGTCAAGAAAAATTGAAATTATATCACAGCTGATTTAATACCACAAATAAGAGGAAGAAGTATTTTAGGTCAATGTGATCTCGGGGTTGAGTTTTGTTTTTGAAGTGGATGCTGGAGGCTGCTATTATTCTGACATTTCGTATTTATTTGGTCAGGGAAAGTTTATTTTTGTAAGGTAAAAGGTGTTAAATAATTTACCTGATGGATTAGAGTGACCTGGGGTCCACAATGACAATCAGTCACGGTCATGCACCGGTCACACAATTTGCAACACATAGTCTTGTTTTCAAATACTTACTGTACATGTAGAAACTTTTGGGTGGGAAGAACAAATTGTTCATGGTTTATACATGCGGTCACATGTAAACATGTCAACATGTAATTTACCTGATGGATTAGAGTGACCTGGGGTCCACAATGACAATCAGTCACAGTCACGCACTGGTCACACAATTTGCAACACATAGTCTTGTTTTCAAATGCTTACTGTACATGTAGAAACTTTTGGGTGGGAAGAACAAAATGTTCATGGTTTATACATGGGGTCACATGTAAGTTTACATGTAAAAACAAGAGTCATTTGCAATATGCATGAGAAAAAAGTTGATTCGCAGTCTGATCATGCTATTTAACCAAATCATGTTTCATTTCATGAGGGACAAAAAGCCATTTCACAATTCACATAAAAACTAGACCTTTGATGGTCACAAAAAAAATACCACTTTATTAAATGTTTACTTGAAGTAACCTGATTTTTCTCTCCTTGCAACAGAAGACAAAGATGTGTTGTTAAAGATGAAAAATGCCATGGACACAATTGCAAAAAAACAACCATATGGAAAAAGGAAGGAAAACTCTCCTGTGGTGAAAAACAAAAAAAAAATCAAGTAGGAAAAAGAACGAAAACTCCCCTGAGGTAACAAAGAAACAACCAAGAGGGAAAAAGAAGGAACATTTGTCTGTGACCACAAAGGGTAAAAGCAAAGAAGAAAAACAGGCAGCCAATGAAGAAAAAGAGGAAAAAAAGAGAGAAAAGTTACAAAAGAAGAAGGCTCTAGATGAACGGGATTTCAATGTCCTTTGTCAGTTGTCAAAACTAAACAAGGCTGTTGTTGTTGTTGATGAGCAAGGCCGAGAAAGTGAAGAGAAAGACAAGGAGCTGAGGAGGAAGAATATGGAACTCAGCAGAAGGGAAGAAGTCCACAGAAACAAAAAAGGATCCAATAAGGAGAATGGCCAAAATAGTTCTCCATGCAAAAGAACAGAAGATGATGATTTAGTATTTGACTACTTGAAAAGCCTTCTGTCAGACCCCTCAAACAGGAATGATGATGCAGATGAGGAGGATGATAGTACATGTAAGTAGGCTTTCGGTACTTTAATTATATTAATAATTAGTATGCAGTCTGCATGCAGACCTATCTGATAAAAAAGGCAAAGTGTGCGACAAGCCAAGTGGCCCATAATGCTAGAGCTTATCCCTGTTTCTGTAGCATTAAGCGAGTAGGAGTATTTCTAGTCCCCCCCCTCTCTGGAATGGGATGCTAGTCCATTGCAGGGTTACCCCCAGCATTATTTCATTGGTACTTACGTCTGAGGGTAAAGGGGCACTCTGAGAGTGAAGTTTTCTAATGTCCAAGAACACAACCATGGGAGGCAGATTTGTCAAGATGCACATACGCTTTTCAAGTGACAACGATATATGTCAGCTTCACCTTTCACAGTCTTGCATTATGATTTTTCAAGTGGCAGTGATATAGTATGCCAGCACTTCATGTTAGCTAACAATAGCCCACATTTGACATAAAATTCTAACTTGACTCTCAGGCTTTCTGGTTAAAAAATGCAAATTTTCGAATATTGTTTTGTCTGAATACCCAGACGAAACTTGATACAAAGAAAACAACACAAAATATAGAAGTTTGACCAGAAAGCCTCTGTGCCATGTTTGAATTTTAATATATTGAACATGGACTACTAAGAACTTCACACAAATAAATATCTATTTTGCATTTATCAGTTCTAAATGACAGTGGCTTAGACTTGGCCGATGACATTGATGTTGCAGAAGCAACAACCTTGATCTCAGTTCAACAAAGAAGTGGGACACCAAGCCACCCAGCTGTTGGCATGAAGAGGCCAAGGTCACGCCCCACTATACCCACAGCCAACAAATACCCAAGAAGACAACCTGAGTTGGACTGTTCTCAATGCCACCATCTTCTTGCTGAGAACAGAGAGCTGAAAGAGGCAAATGCCTTGCTCACGGAGCAGCTTACTCAGTACAGGATGGAATCCACCAACACCATTCAACAAAGTGAAGCCCCCAGACCTGGCAAGGTTCCAAAGGCTATTGCTGAAAAATATCATGTAAGAGTTTTTCTTTTTATACATACATGTGTAATATGACAGAAACTATGAGTAGTACAAACTGGGGTAAAATCAAGTTTGTTTGTAATAAAGCTGGTGGCAAGTTTTAGAGGAAATGACATAATAAATTCCACATACACGCAGGGTACAAAGAAGTTCAGGTCCGATAGCCCAGGGCTAGTGAATTTTGTGGTCTGGCTGGTGGAATTTAACCTTCACTTGCCTGACGGGCAAGTAAAAGTTTTTTGGGCATTTTTTTTGGGAAATTAATTAACAGGAGCACTGCAAACCATCGAAAATTTTCGGGCTAGTAGAAATGACCTCCGGGCTAGTACATCTTGGCTACAGCTTGCCTGAAGGGCAGGCTGGAAAATAAAACTTCTATGTACCCTGACATGTGATACAAATGTTTATCTATCTAATAAACATGTTTAAATACTTGCAGATGATAGAATTGTCTCCAGGAAAAGGCGTTTATATTTATGAAAGTCATATCACAAAGGCTTACTCCAAGCAAACAGCAACTGCCACAGCCCGCTTTTTGTTGAGTTGCTTTTATAATGATGAGGAACTCATTGGAAAAAGTTTGACAGGCAAGAATGGGAAGCAGTGCCTGAATGGAGACATCCTGGAAAGCATACCGAGTAAGGGTGTAATTTTTTTTACCAACAAGCTTACATTAAAGCTTCTTATAATTATTGGTTAAAATCCACTGTGACAACTATTGACGTGATGGACAACATTTTCCATGTTACACGATTGCTATAAGGCATGGGTTGCACTTGAGCAAATTTTTATCTTTACCGTCAAAAACAAAAACACAGAAAATTTAAAGCTGCAACCGGAAAGCAAAAACTCTCATCAAACTAAGTGGGGTTGCACTGGGGTACTTATACTTTACATTCAGTTAAATCAGCCGCATTTTTTTTGTTTTCGTATGATATGTTTGAAAGATGGGCTAACAAATGTCTAACTGTTTTGACTGCCACTATGATGAGAGCAAGGAATAGGCCTTTTGCAACAGTTGGTCACGTGACCAATAATTTCTAAAGTTCTATCTACAGCTAAATGAATTTCAGGAACAGAAAGGGCATGTTTTAAATAGCCAGAACACCAATTTTCAGACCAATTCCGTTTACGGTTGACATTCAATGAGGATTTGAATATTGCAAAAATTAGGTTTTGTATGGAAGGAAGGAAGCTTTGCCCTCCAGAAACCTTTTCCGTTATTACTCACTACAAAAAGAAGCTGATGGCATAAAACTATAAGGCATAGAAAGAGGGATAAAATATTAGGAAGAATGGAAGTTTCTAGGCTATTAAACCGAAAGGCAAAGATTTTATGGCAGTTTGAAAACTTGCAAAATTACAAGGATTTGTAAGGAAAACCACTGGAGCGTGACTGGAGGGCAAAGCGTCTTCTTCCCATACAAATCCTTCTAATTTCTAGCGTCCATAAAAAATCCCTCTTTTAGTGTATAAACCTGAAAATTTGCATGTAAGCTTATTTTTAACTGTTCTTTCCATTTCTGATAACATTATTTATTGTTTTTTTAGAGGGCACGGTAACAAATCCTGCAATCTGATTGGTTCTTTACCCGGTCAGTATTTTCCTATCTCTGCCCACGGGCCACGGTAACGCTTTCGTGAGTCGCCGAGTACATCCCAACTTTCGTTGTCATTTTTTCATAGATATACCTCGTTTCCGGCTGAGCAGGATTTTAAAGCAAACAAGTCGGTCATTACCTCAAGCCGATAAATAACTTATAAATCCTCTCTTTTCTCTCTCTCAAATCACTTTGGTTGACAGAAAAATATTGGTTTCAGAATGAATTTGTATAAACAATAGTGTCATTACGTTGGTTCACAAGCGGCCTAAAAACCGTCTGCAATTAATTTTAATCATTCACAAAAAGTACCCAGAAAGTTAAAACGTGAGGTATTTGGTTACAGTTAAACTGAACGATGGAACTTTCATTAATTTAATATCTGAATTTTCTCGAGAAAATTGTTAGTAGTGAAAGAGCGAGCAAAGTTTTAATTTAAGTTCTACAACAAATATAGGCTCCCGGTGAGTCTTTCCAATTCCGTTCAATTTGGACATTTGTACCGTAAATTACACAACAGAAACTGAAGGAATTTTTTGAGAAAAGGCCGCATTAAATTCCCTTGTGTCTCGTTGGAGCGTGCCGTTCGAATTTAGTTTTTGTGAAGGAAAGACCAGATTTACCCACGCCATTGCAGCAAACAAACGAGCAAACTCTCACAACTTCAAAATAAAAAAATTGAATCTACTCACAATTACTTTCCTCGCCGTTTACTTAATGAACAGAGGTAAATCTTCGTACATGAATGAATCGTCGATGAGAGTGAATAATACTTTCCGTTAGATCGTTGACTGATTTTGAAGAAAACATTGTCGTGACAGTCCTTGCCAAACTAGTTCCGTTGTTTTTCAAATGTTCTTATGATTTTTTTTTTTTTTTTTTTACACGCTCTCTAATTGACAGGTGTCAGATTCTGACAGATACTTGTAAAAATAATGTTTCATAGTTTGTTTGGAAGCCTTTTTAAATCACCTTTATCGTTACGGAAATGAAAATGTTTCGCTGAGGCATCTCTCTTTAATTTGCATCACCTCTATTTTAACTACCATTTACTCGCTCAAAAATTGTTCAGTTTATGGAAGATCTTTACGTATTTACTGCCCTAAATCATTTGGGTTCTTTCGGAAAGAATTTCGTCAAGTTTAAAAAAAATAAATATGTTATTTACCGGCTAAGGGTCGGTCCGTATGGTGAAAAACTGTGACCTCGGTCTTGAAAATGCTGCCCTCGGCCTACGGCCTCGGGCAGTATTTTCAAGACCTCGGTCACAGTTTTTCACCAGACGGACCGACCAGCCGGCAAATAACATATATGTATTACCAATGACTAAATGAGTGAGTTCTTGAAAAGCACGTCACGTGACCAATTGTTGCAAAAGACCTATTGACATCTAAAAAGAACACTTCAATGACGATATGCCCGGTCAGTTCAGGTTGCCCAGTAGAGTGCTGGTTTGATCTTCATTACTACGTTTAGCACGACACCAACACAGTTAAGTACAACAACTGCGTCTTACCGATCCATCACCAGAGAAAATTGTTGTAAAATTGACATCCATCCATGGTAAAGTAAGAGCGTTAACTGAAGCAATATCACAAATGTTCTGTCAAATTTTCATTCTCTGACAAGCATTGACAATTACCACTGCGACTCCTATTCTTCAGCTCGAGTTTTCTAAAATCTGCCCGCCCCACTAAAGCACTACGGCTTTGCTGTTTTTGCTGATTTTCTAGGATTTTCCAACCATAAAAGTTGGGGTTGCACTAGGCAATGTCCCAAGCTGATGACAGATTTTGGCTGCAAACTAAACAAATTCTTGCAAAAAATTGCCAAGTGCAACCCAAAACCTTCCACAGTGGCCACCATCGACCAAGGTAGGTGGCCATTGTGGGGAGATAGGGGTGTGATATGACTTCTACTTTTTATGGGGTAAATATAGACTGTGTATCTGAACTCTGTGTCCATGCAGTTACCAAAGACAAATGATGTACCCCAAAATTGGAAACAATACACAAAGATCCCCTAACACAAAACAGTGAGTAATCATATAATTTTTGTTCAGATCACCAGGTCATTATGTGATTGATAAGTCCTTCTCACGCCAATTGAAACAGCTTTTACTCTTGATCAACATACATGTATGCTTGAATAACATTCTTCCTATTGTAACATACGATTGGGAAGAACTGTAATTTATAACAATAATGCAACTGAGATTATGGTGATTTAGGTTTAAATGATAAAAAAAGGTCTCAGACAGTGACATTTTCTTCATGTTGTAGGTTACACAAGGAAAAAGTTTGATGGTGTTTGCAACAGCATTATTCGCATTGCCATGAGGAACAAGATCACTTGTCTTGAAACAAATGCCAAGAAGAAAAGGGCAGTGAGTTCATCTTAACTAGCCAATCCAAGTTCAAATGGACACTATAGGGACATGTTAGTTAGCATTTAGCAGTTAGAGGTTAGGGGCTAGCTTTACACCTGATGAGAGCTAGGTCAATTACTGTGTTAGTAAATGTTAGCTTTTTAGGTCATACATATTCCTTTTTTTAAGCTTTTTAGCAGATGCCAAAAATTAAACCCCATCAAATAAAGACAGTAAGTTAGCATATAGCAGTAAGCAGTTAGAAGTCAGCTTTTTGGGGTCAGTGCTGTAGGCTGGTAAAGGTAAGTTCTTTATTACATTATTACATAATATTGTGAGAATGTAATTTTTTTTTAATTAAAAAAATAAGTAATCAGTTTATTAATAATGAACAGTGTTTTGAATGGAATTTTTAGAATACTGTTGACTTAACTCAGGATTTTAATCGATTGATCACTTGCGACTTTCTTGCTAGAAATTACATTAATTTTATGAATTATATCATAGATCAAAGGGATTGTCATTGTATCATGTATATTATTCAATTAAATAATCAATAATAATAATAATCAATTATTCAATGGCGCTTCTATAGTCACATTGCATTTTAGACGAGTGAGATAATATGTTTAACCAAAAAGAGACAGCAAGAGGCTGTCTGTCTGAAGCCGCCGCCGCCAAAAACCGAAGCCCAGGAAAAGAAGAGAAAGAAACGCAAACGGATCATACATGGGAAGATAAAAAAGAACTCCAATTAAAAGAAATGATACGTAACGTGGAGGAAAGAACTTATTTTTCAAAGAAATGGCTTGATAATATTGAAAAACATAGAAAACGTTCAGTGTAGTGTTTTTTGTTAAGTTGTAGACACTAAAGATGCCACGAGTGTTTTCATGTCGATGCTGCAAATATAAATTATGCATGATTTCTCAAGAAAAACAAATCGAAGAAACATGAAGGGATTATGAAAATTTACGAAAAGTAGTATGCCTCACCGAAATGGAAATGGTCACCCAAGGGATTCAAGAATTAACCGTTTACTTTAAGAATTAACAAACATGTCATGAAAACTTTTTTAAAACTTTGTTTTATTTAAAAAATAATAAAAAAAAAATGTTCGCTTTGAGTGTTCACTTTGAGTGTCAATGTTTTTTTTCGTTTTGTTTTGTTTTTTTTATAAAAGCAACAAGTCCATGTTCTCCAAATCTTGTGCATCCAGTCGCGAATATCTGTAAGGATAAGACTTAAAACCGTGCGAATGATCTAAAACTCGCTTGTCGAACATGAGTTGATACGACTTGGTCTGAGTCTCAGTCTTGATTTTTTTCAAAGTGGGGTTTCTGACGAAGTGGGTCGGGTCGACTACCAGCGTTTTTCTTTGTTCATCTAACGGGTGAAGAACCTCATCCAAAATATTTTGGTGGATGATGTCGTAATTTAGCTGTTTGGCACCACGTACATTCAGCGAGAATCCCTTTACTTTGCACACCACTTTACCATTCTTTGTTTGATACCCATAGTTCTTCGCACCTGCGGAGATGAATTCTAAAATAAAGTCGCCATTGTCAAGCTCGTTGGTCATGTCGCAGAAGTAGTCGCCAAGCTCGATTTCTGTCTGCCCCAGTTTCCATGTATATATGACCGAGTCTGTATCGTAATATAAGACTCGGTCACCCAACTTCTCCAACGATTCGTACAATTTAAGGCGGGTCAAACAGGTGGTAAATGCTGCAATGAAAATATTCGTATTGCTCCCTTTGTAAGGATCTTCTTCATCGCGTTTGTACGATACTTCTATCACTTCAGAATTAAGAATACGGATGTCTGTCACGGTGAAGAGAGGGTCGTCAAGCAGATCTAGGAGTTATTATTGTTTTGTTGGCCAAATTTCCGCCAGAAGGAGTTAAGCACGAGTTTGGCCGTGGCTTTTCTTCCGGGGTTCTTGGGTCGAGTCAGATACCTTCTTTTTCTTCATAGTAATGAATGTATTCTTCTTTTTGCGTATCGGTCCGCACCCAGTTTGGGCAGCCACCGCTCTCTTGCTTAATTTTTAACCAAGTGTCCATGTACGGTTGGAACAGACCTTTTCGATGCTGCGGGAAATCCCATACTTCATGAATTCGGACGAGTCGGTATCCTTTTTCGATCGCTTTTTTCACCAGGTGCCTCGTAACATTCGTTCTTCATCACTGTGTGGGCAGTGATAGTCGCGTTCCAGCATGTGTTCTTTCTGTGTCTCTATTTCTACACATTCACGGCATAATGGGAAGGTCAGCTTGTAGGAGTTTCCAATTTTATGACGGTAAGGTAAGACTGGGTTATACAGGTCAGCGGGTGGGGTGATGTCCACAGTCATCAAGCCAAAGTAACTTCTAGGGTCTTGATTCTCTGGTTCCAAATGAATGTCTGGGTGGCCTACAGGGTACGTACCATACTTGTTTACGTAGGAGTACTCAGAGGTTACGTCGATGTAGCGGATTTCTTCTCTTTCTTCTTCATTTACTTTATGGTACAGGCAGGCGGCGCCCATTCTACCACCGTAAAAACCTTCTCTTGGGTTCAAAGGAGGGATAATATCCAAATCTTTTAGAAATTCGGCAATGGCTGGTGCTTCTTTCTTCTCTTTCTCCCATTCACACTCCCAGATTTCCACCACTCGATACCCTTTACCGCGGAGTTTTTGGATTTTCTGACTGGTCTGTTGGCGTAAGGCTTCTAAGGTCAACCCATTAGAACAGAACGGAATTTGTTTGCGATTTGTGTAACAGGTACGACAACCATGATAGAGGCACCCGTGAAATTCGTAGACTGCGCGGGTCTGTGCATCATAACCATCCACGAAGTACGAGGTAGGGCCAACAGGGATACGATACTCTCCTCCGTTACGTGCGTGCTGAATTCGACTTCCGATATTGTATTCTTGCCACATCAACCATTCCAACGATGCTTTGGAGTGATTCATACGGGCACCTCACCACCCCGATGAAGGTTCTACTGCTATGAGATCTAAGAGTAAATGTTTCCTCCTCCAATAACGGTTACACGCTGCGGCGATCGTAACGCATTTTTCCATAGGATTGAAACCGGCGATGCTTTTAAATTCTTGGATGAATTTGTGACATCCAGCTTTCAGTAACGCAACATCTGAGTGACAGTATGCAAGCAGTTCTTCTTTGAGATCAAATGGGTGTTGTTTGGATGCTTCTTCTCTATACCACACTTCCAATTCTTCTTTTTTCTTACTCAACATTCCCTCTGGATCTTAGTAAGAAACTTCAGGTAACAGACCCACATAACTTCGATTTTCTTGCATATGAAACTTGTGTGGAAAGAAGCCTTTTTTTAACTCAGTGAGACCAAAGGTGTTGGTAAATGCCGACAGAGCCATGGGAAGAAAAGCCATGGAATCTTTAAATTTTACCAGCTTCCAGAGAAATCGTCTTTGTGCCGTTAGGAATCATCACATCGAATTTTCTTCCTTCTATCACAAGCTGATGCTGTATGAAAATGGAATCATACCCTTTTAAATTATGGAATATGCAGATGACTTCACGCGGTTCTTTGTACTGATCTTCGGTAAGGTTCGTCAAGAATTCCGGAAACTGTTTACTGCAATTGTCGCCATAAAACGTGTAGGAGGTGTTGTTTTCGGAAGTTTGAGCGCAGACGCAAATGGGTAGGTGTATTCCGTCTTCGCTGATCATGGCTTGATAGTCCGCGTAGACGAAGATGGGTGGTTCTTCGTATACGGATGCCTCGGGGTTTATTATTAAATGCTTCTTGAGTTTGGCTTTCGTTTTCCGTTTGGGTGAATCTTATTGTTTAGGGATGGGTTGAATGTAGCATTTGTGTTCTCTAAGATCCATGTACTCCTTACAGATAGAGCATTTTCCAAAGTAACAACGGTGTAGCTGTTGGGGGTCTGGCTGAAATTGTTTGCAACAGTTACTGCATCGTACTAGGGTCTTGCAGATGTTTTTTGCGTGGTGTAAGGTGAGGCAGTTCTGACTGTAAAAATGGTGGTTGCAGGCTGAGCAGTGGAGAGTGGGTTTGTGAGGTTTTGTACCACATTCGGTCTGCTTGCATGCTTTACAGCGACGGCCCTCGCATGGGTGGTTGCAGGGGTGATTCCACGTTTCCTTGAAACGTAATGCAATATGGATAGCATGTGGTCATCACTTTCAACTGGTAGTCGGGCGCCAGGTACTGTTAAAACTTTTCTAATCTGGTACGCCCACAAGGGCCTTCGGGCACAGCAGCTTGCTTGTGAAGGAATTTGGCGCATCGGGTGAGCACATTCGGATTATTTCCAAGATTCTTATAGTAACGCTTTCCCTCTACACCATCGTCTTTATGCAAGTGGGCTTTTGTTAGACAAATGGCTCTTGCAAGGCAAAGGCTGTCTTCTGAATTTTTAATCGGTAACACATTGTTTGTTGTGGAGAACATCTTCAATACTATGTCTTCCCTTTGATAATTTAGATTTACCACCTTCCTTTGGTTTTAGCACGATGGTGAGGTCGACGGCGAACTTATCCTCAGGGCTAAAAGATTCATTCGAGTTAAGTTGATTGGCCAGTTGGTTCATATATGCACCAAATCGCTCTTCGCCATTTCCATTCATGATTTCACCGACAGTAAAGGGTTGTGTTTGTACATGGTGGTCAAATTTCTTGGCTTTAAAGTTTAAAAACACCTCATCTGTATCTGTCAATGTTTTGTTTTGCCACTGGTCGGTAACTTTTTTGCGATGGAGTGTTTCTTTCATCGGTCTAAGAAATAAAAAGGGTCCTTAGGGATCTAGCAGTTTTTTCTCTTTTATTTTTGATTTCTAAGACAAGTTTTGATATTGCTAGGTCAGCTTCTCCGTATATCGAAGACACATGATGATTTTTATCTATGTCTGTTTCATAGTGCTTGTAGCAATTACTTAACGACAGAAACTAAATCATGATCATCTTACCTGACTAAAGCCTCTGTGACTTCTTTTCCCACATTATCGTTCTTTGTTGGGTTACGCCTCTGTTTTAATGTGGCGTGATATCTTTGTTGATTCGCCGCTGATTTCTTCCACCGCTTGGGGAGACCAAATTTTTGGAAATCAAATTCAAACAAGGGCATACCACCACCAATTTGCTCAGGGTGTTCATCCAAACCAATGTCGAGGGCATCTAATTGTTGTTGATCCAATTCATGACCAAATTGAACCATTTGCAAGTCTGTCACATCGTTGCCATATTGCCAATTTCGTTTAATAAGTCATCTGAAATACCATCATCCCCATATTCCACTTCGTCAAACTTTCGTTTCGCCATCGCTCGATCCCTCAATTCAATCTACAACTTTACACTTTACTACTTCTTCCTCTACATCTGCAGCTTTTGAGATGATGGCGCAAGCTTTGTAGTAGTTTTTTATGAAATTTGAATTTCAAATTTTTCAGGCTGTCTACAACGACTCTGATTGGTGACGATTTCTTAAGGGATTGGGCAGCCTCAGGGAGCTTCAAATTTGTTTAATTGTTTTCCCTAAGGGGCTCTGTTTTATTTGAAAACGTAGTTGAAACGCTTTCCACTTTTCAACTTGCGTTTAAGTAATGGTTCGCCTGAGAAGGAAAGGGGCGAGGCGCAGGGCCTTGCACATAAGTAGTCTCCTTAATTGGCTTATCTTATTAATTTCCGATGCTCTGATTGGTGGAAAACGGTATTTTCACGATATTTGCACGAAAAAAACCGATTTGTGACGATGTGTTTTCCTTTTATGGTAGGGTTTCTATTGTTCTGTCTCTCGGCAAAGTTTCGGCTAATTTGCATTTGCGGAACTCGGTTTTCCGAGACTCGTACAATTCAGTCGCCATATTGTGCAGCGTGCGATCCTTCGTCAAAATAGCATCGTTTATGAAGTCTACCTTTTCTGTAAATATTGTAAATAGTGTATATAGTGTATATAGTGTATATAGTTTTTCAATTCATCTATCTCGTTTACGTTTACCTCCTTTTTGGATCCCTTATGGGGTTCGAAGGGAAGTGTGTTTGTTCGAAACACAGCATGTGGCATCATGGTGATATTTCAGCGGCTAGTTTGTGGATTGCTAGTCCAGAAGAGCTTGAATTTTGTGGTGTGGATACATCGAAAAACAAAACCAGAAAGAGAAAGATTTGCCTTCCATGTTGAGAAAGAATTGCTCTTGAACTCAAGTGCCGGAGATATGAGGTGAGCTTATGTTTACAAGCGTCAAATTTGCCGACTGATTCTTAATGTGTGATTTTCCTTTTGCACTACTGTGCCTCTCATAATTTTCTTTTATTGTGATACAATAGCCATCGAATATACCTTAGAATAATTTTCATCTCCTTCTTTTCTCCAGGAGGTAAATTTCAACCAGCTAGTGCCGTCTTCGGTGCCAACGCTTGAAGAAACGCTCAGGTGTCACGAAGAAAATGTCTCAAGTTCAGTGGAATCAGTGGAATATCCTGATCCAGTTGACATTGAAAGCATGGAGAATTGCCTGTTGTCGTCAAATGCCATCGAGACCTCATCGAAAAGTGTTCAAGTGCCGGAAATTCAGCGCCGGCCATACAAAGAAGCTGAGTTAAGAACCCAACAGACTATGAGAAGCAAGACCATCGATAGCTTGACATCACTGGCTGATAAATATGTCCACTTCAATGAAAGTGATGTTCCCATGTTTATTTGTGATCTGGTTAGATCTGGAAAGTGGCAGGCTTCATTTGGAACTGAATCTGCTGCTTCCAACAGTGCTATGTCACACGGTGAAAACTCATTTCTCTCCAGACTCACAGCAGAGTATAAAGCTTGCAAGGACAAAGAGGCAAACAAAGCCATCAGAAAGAATGCTACTAGCCAAAAACAAAAGGTTTTCATCGGGGACACTTTAAGGAAAAGCAAAATTTCTCTCAATGGAAACACCAGAAATTTTCAGCTCTCGTGTTGATGCAGCAAACCAACTTGGCAGACTTCGATGCTATGCTGATGAAAAGCGAAGGCTACTGTCCATCGTTGCCATGGACTACTCATATTCTGTTCTTCAGAAGTATTTTCAGTGCTCCTCTAAAACCGTAACAGCTGCAAAGGTACACTGCATACTGTTTGGCCGTGGAGGTGTGCCTGTGGAGAAATTCAAGTTTACCCGTCAGTGTGTGAGTCCTCAAGTGCTGGAAGAACTGACTGAGTTTCTACACAGGGATGATGTCTCTAGAGCTTCTTCGTGTAGAAGTGTACTGGTTGATGGAGAGGAGACGGCTGTCAAGTACTGACAAGACACTGTTAAAGGCCTGATTAACCAGTACTTACTGGAGTTTCCAAATGGAGTAAAGCGTACATATATTTATACACATTTGCCAACCAATTTCCGCATGAACACCATGCTTGCAGGTTTGTGCAACATCTGTAATGACTTTGGTCACTCTAATTTTGATGAATTGTGTACATTTATCAAGGAACTCTGTTCACACAGCCCTCAATGGATCTGCCCTTGTCAAGGATGTTAGGTGCTATCAGACTTTTGTGAAAACAAAATTCTCAAAACTTTCACAGCATCATTCCTCATGCTTAGAGTTATCTCAAAGTCATGCATTTTCGTCTTGTCCCGAGGAGCACCAAGCAGTATGTACTGACATTTCACCTATTTATAATGTTTACAGCTCTGTTTTGGATTCAGTTGATGGTATCTCAGATCAATCTGTGAAATCTGACTTGACAGCACGCTTGCAAGAATTGTTCAAGGTGCATACTGACTACCTTGGACATCTACTTCGCACCAAACATCAAGGGGACTATTATAAGTTTATTCTGAAGAACTTGAAACCTGGAGAGTGTGTAATGGTTATTGATTATAAGATGAAGCTAGAGCTGGGCAAACGAGTAAGAGAAATCCAGAGAGACTGGTACGGCAAACGGGGAATCTCTCTACATGGTTGCTATGTGGTTGCCCAGGTGGATGAGAACCAATGCAGTAGTGAGGTGTTTGACCTGTGGTTGGAGGACACGAAGCAGGACGCTTTCTTTACTCAGAGCGCACTGTCTGCTTTTCCTGGCTGGAAAGGGTCTCTCCTGGATACTCTGTATACCTCTTTTCTGGTATGTGTATGTTTTAAGTTTATTATTTTACAATTTATAGTAAATACCAAACCTGCACTTGTTCACATACATGTATGTCTGTACACGGATGGTCAATAACAACAAAACTGTAAGATACCTTTCATATCCAGATTTTACCAACTGTATTTTTCGGTTTGTTTATGTAACAACTACATAAACGTCAAAATTTTTACTTATATGTAGTACTGCAAATTTGTTCTGAAGTTTCCTGAAATTGTTTCATTTGTAATGTAAAAAATCATGGGATGATTGGTAAACTTACAATTGGATAAGGTTTTACCCCTTGTTTTACCCCTTTACTTATTCTGCAGTTAGGGTACATGTATTCCTTGTTGGTGCTGATCTAGTTTTGTTTATCAGAAGCCAAATAAAAAATCTTTGAGTAAAAAGCTCTGTTTACCATTCTTTATATATTAATTTTCAGTTCTTTACTGCTTGGCTCTAAAAAACTCAATAATAATTTGCATATAGATTCTGAAAGTGTTGAGCTGTGTTTCTTTTTTGGTAGATATTTATTTTATTAATTTGGACCTTGGATAATTTTGTATTCCTTTTTTTCTACAGACAATGGTCCTCATTACCATAACACTGCAGTGCTGTGCTATCTTTCTGAAGTAAACGAGGTGTTTAATGTGCGACTCCAGCAGTACAACAATTTTGAGGCAGGTGAAGGCAAAACAGCTCTTGACACCCACTTTACCCACATCAGCCACAAGATTGTGCGCTATGTTCGCTTAGGAAATGACCTGGAGACAGGAGAAGAACTTGGAGATCTTGTGCAGGTAAATATATTTTAAAAATTGTTGTTTTGTTTTCAGTATGAGAAAAGATGGAATAAACTTTTTCCTAAGACCTGCTGATAACAGGCAACAGTCTATTAATTTGCCATTCAGACCACAATAGTGCGTGATATGAAATGGTAAATTTTGATTTTGATTGCCCAAGTATTCAGTCATGAAACAGAAAGAATATTACTGAAGTTAATTTTACATTATTTTTAGTTCTGCAACTGATTTCAATGCATTTTTCTTTAGCATGATTTGGTAGACTGTTAAAAAGTTCCTTTTTGTACTTTTAGATACCTGTGATTTATTCAGCAAACTACTTTGGTCTTTTTTTTACCTTTTCTGTTAGATTTATTTGCTCTCCCCACCCCCCTTCCTCCCCCATCCAAAAAAAGCAGAACTACAAATGGGTGGAATGTTTTGGTATAAAGTTTAAAAAAACTGTTTGTATTTCTTTGACATTCTTTCTCCCTTTCTTTTGCACTGTGATAACTATTTCTCCCAGGCATTGTGTTGTTGTTTTAATTTATTCATCCAAAATATTCATCATATTGACAGTTCATTTGTGTTGTTTCCTTTACCTTTTTACAGTTATTGTACCCAGTTATTTTACACTGATTGATTTATTCAGGCAAAGTGCTCTTCCTCTTTTGCTGTCTCTCTATCAAAAAAAGTAGCACATATCTTATCATTCTGTTATTTACACTTTCTTTCAGAGTATGAAAAATGTGTCATGTTTTAAGCTGAACATCGACAGAAGCAAGGCCCCCAAGAAAATGGGAACTTTGAAGGACATTTCCCTGTTTGGCAGCTTTGCATTTCCTATGGATGGAGAGTATGCAAGTGGATTGGTAGCTCAATCACTGGCTGGTGTAGGGAAAATGGTAAAAAAGACCAAGGTGCAAGTAAAAAAGCTGGCTTCAAGAGAATCCTGCTTGGCTGGTGCGACGGGGTCTTCTATTTCATCAGAGCTTCCAGAACCTCTGGAAAGGCAGTCAGCTGTTTCCATTCAGCCACAAGATGTCTACACCATCCGGTTTATCAATCATGCTCCTGAAACAGTGCTGGCTCCAACCCTGGATAATGTTCCCCGGCCGTCCTCTTTCCCTTCACCACCCAGTGGGTTTGCATTAAAGAAAAACTCTGGCAAGAAAACTGTGTTCAGCTTAGCCCAGAAAGAGATTATGATGTTGTTTTACAACAGGCAAGCTACCGGTGGCATGCGGGCTGACCCAAAAGATGTAATTGCATGCATGAGAGAGAGAGGAGTGGAGGTACTTAAGGAGCAACAAATAAGAAGCTGGTGGAGCATGTATCATCAAAAGAGGAAAAGATCCTTAAATGCCTTAACCAATGACGCATGCAATCCGACTTCTCAACAGCACCCTGTTCAATCACCATCAGTATCAGCTCCCACTACGCCTGCATCCCAACAACCCTCGGTTGCCACTACGTGTGCATCTCAGCAACCCTCAGGTCATGCAGCTCCAGTACCAGCTCCCACTTCGCCTGCACCCCAGCAACCCTCAGCTCACGCAACTCCATTGATGGCTACCACTGCGCCTGGAAACCAGCAACATTCAGGTCATGCAGCTCCAGTGCCAGCTCACACTACGCCTGCACCCCAGCAACCCTCAGGTCACACAACTCAAGGGATGGCTGCCACTATGCCTGCATCCCAGCAACCCTCAGGTCATGCAGCTCCAGTGCCAGCTCACACTATGCCTGCATCCCAGCAACCCGCAGGTCACACAACTCAAGGAATGGCCGCCACAATGCCTGCATCCCAGCAACCCTCAGGTCATGCAGCTCCAGTGCCAGCTCACACTACGCCCGCATCCCAGCAACCTTCAGGTCACACAACTCAAGTGATGGCTGCGACTACGCAATGCCAGTGTTGGTTTCATTTGCACCTGCAGCACCAGTGTATACACCTGCACTACCGATTACTGGTCACACTGTTCCTGGAATTGCAGGTATTATACAGTGGAGTTTTCCAGTTGACTTCTGCCAGTCCATGATTGGAGGAAGGTCTGGGAGCAATGTGTGTACGTTCATTGCCTTGTACTTTGGAAAGTACTTACTGCATGAAAACTTGCCAACACCATGTGGTAATAGTTTGTCTATGGAATGGAAGAGTGCACTGTATACAGCAATGAAAAGAGGTAATGAAATTCATGATGAACTGTTTGAAGGAGAAGGTGTGGATGTTGCTGTTGAAGATGCTGTAAATATGGCAGGAGCACTAAGCTTTGTAAACTCAGTCGGACAGGGCTATGATATGTTTGGACACGACTGTGAGGATAAGCTAGCAACAGTGTTCGAAATGCTATGTACCACGCAGCAGTCAAGGCGTTATGCAGTTGTATCCTCAGGAAGAACCATGCTTCTTATTGTTAATGAGGATGGCTCATGTATGATTGTTGACTCTCACAAGCATATAAATCATGGAGCTGTGATTGCTTATTGCCCTTCAAACTCAGTCAAGATGCTGGCCAAGTGGCTGCAGGCAATGATGCAAAGAACTTGGCTAATAGATTTAAGATTTTGTTCTGTGACACCTATTTTTTATGTAACACCATAGTCTCATTCCTATGTGGATCCAGGGGGTGGGGTATTAAGGGTGCTACCACTCTCACTATGGAGATTGGATAACAATCAAACTCAGGCTTGATTTATTATTTGCACTCCAAATTTTTCATTTTCTTTATATTTGGGGAGGAGGGAGGCGATTGTACCACAGGCTCACCAACAACCCATCTTTCATAAATGTTGATTTTCATCTCAGTCATTTGCACTCAATGCTCACTTCATTGTTATTGGAAACCACACCGTTATGCAAGTATTAGCTTTTGTTAATAGAAGTTTTTTGGAACTTTGGAAATCCAGAGTTGAGGAATGGATGAATTAATACCGTATTTACCCGCGGATAGGCCGCACTTTTTTCGGACTTTTTTTATGTGGTGTTTAAACAAAAAACTCTGCCAAAAGATTTGGTGCTGCCACGGGGTATCCATGTTCATGCTCAAGCCAAAGGGTGGATGGACGAATCGCTTGTAAAAGACTGGCTGAACTCCATCTGGACCAAAGTTGGCGGGCTTCTACGAAAAAGAAATCTCCTTGTGTGGGACTCGTTTAGAGCTCAAAACTTGACAACTGGTGACAATGTTAGCCTTAGGAGAAACGAAGCTTCCCCCTATGGGTTTTGCCAAAAAAAATTCACGCACAGATGCGGCCGTAATACCGGGTGGGATGACAAGTCGGGTTTTTTACAACCTTTGGACGTCGGTGTCAACAAGCCCTTCAAAGACAATTTAAGACAATACTGGAACGAGTGGATGCTTGCTGGAAATCACACATTCACACCAGCAGGCCGCATTCGAAAACCTGACCTCCCCCAGATTTGCCAATGGATTCTAGACAGCTGGAATGCCATTTCCACAAACACCATCAAACGATCATTTCTCAAATGCTGCATCACGAACGCACTTGATGGCACTGAAGACGACATTCTCTGGGAAGATATGGATGAAAGTGATCCGTTTGCCGACAATGATTGAGCGGAGTCAATTGTAGACGAAGAAGGTGAACTTTTCTATGCTGGTGAAGAGGAAGTTTCCGTCCTGAAAGTGAACGAACAAGAATACTGTGACATTTTTGGTGAAAGTGACACTCATGAAGGTGATTTCAATGGATTTTAATTTTGATCGGACAACAATGAAACTTTGTTGTGTAGCTTTTATCGATTGAAAAGTTCATCACGGAATGTATATTAGTTTCATGTAAATATTTTAATAGTTGTTAACAGATTACAACTTGTTTATGATTTTGGCGAACGTGTTTACAAGGGTTATGCTTCACTTTACTCGTGTTTGTACATATAAGGACAGAAACTTGTTCGAAAAAATTATCTTTAATTAAGATTATTTTGTATATAAAATGTTAGCGAATAGACGTTTCAGTTTCTAGTTTGAACATTTTCACGTTCGTGTAGGAATTATTGCAGAAATAAACTTGACTTGATACACATCAGCTGTTGTTGATTTCAAACTTTGCTTTATTTATCCCAGTACTCGACCTCAACAATTTTTGAGCGGCCTATCTGCGGGTAAATATGGTAATCGCATACCCATGGAATTACTGCAAAATTACTTTTATGGTCAACTTTTTCATATTCGTTTATATGGGGTTTTTCTTTCGTAGATACATCAAAACTATGTGGATACAGATGCCCTCTATTGGTTTTTCAGCAATTTAAAATTTGAATTATCAGTCATGGAAAACTTTAATTTAGCTGTTTATTTTCAAGATGTTGATTTTTGTGTGGGATTTCCCACACTTTGTCAACGCCCGCGAAATTTATTTCTTTATTTATTTGTCCACGAGAGAGAAGTGCTTGTCACATGGTTTCTATTTGCGTTCAGTGAGCCGTGAAGACTGGATTCCAGTCGGTGTTTTTTCATAGTGTATTGTACGGCGGCCATTTCTCTTCTCAGTCGTTGGGTTTTGGAGAACTTATTCGGAATTTCATGTCTGTTTCTTGGGGATTTTTGTTTCCAAGGTAAGGATAAGTCATTTCATATTTTCACGGGTTCTTTGCATGCTTTAACTTTTCAATTTTGTTGTGGGAGCTTCACGATTAAGCTCTCACGAAAGGCGATTACGTTTGTACACCTGGTTTGTGTTCTTTCTTTCATAATCTGAGGCGTTTGTTTTGTTATTTCTTCAGGTGTCTATAACAAAAGATTTTTTCACGTAAGTCAACACGCTGAAACGCGGCTTGTGTTCAGTGCAGGTTGCACAGGAGCTTTTACGCTTTCACAAGCCAACATTTATTGGCTTGGACCTTCGGTGCGGGTTGTGTCAGATTGAAAGGAGTCATTGTACTCTCGCAAGCCAACATTTGTCGGCTTGAATGTATTTGTGCGGGTTGTGCTTCAAAGAGTCTCAGGGTGTCTCAAAGTGTCTCACGAGTGTCTCAAAGTGTCTCATGAGTGTCTCAAAATGTCTCACGAGTGTTTCAAAGTGTCACAAACTGAAAGAAACTATTGTTTGCCTTGAACTGTCAAGAGTGTTATCTATTTTAATAAACCGAGTTTCTAGTTAGTTGGATTGTTGTTGTTGCTCGCTCAAGCACACAAGTAAATATGGGGATCTCCATTGACCAATTCCGTTCAAGGATTGGATCTCATGAAGATTTACATCCTGATTTTAGTGAAAACTATGACCTCTTTGATGATCTCAACATTTCATCAACATCGCTGAATAATGAACCACTGATATTGAATGAATTACCTGATTTTGATTTTCGTCAAATGGTCCAGACATCCGATAAAGAGCAAAAAGAATTTTTTTAACACATTTTACATCAGATTAAAACCTTAGAAACCCCTTTCTACTGCTTCCTCAGTGGAGGGGCTGGTGTTGGCAAATCGCATTTAACAAAAGCTTTGTATCAGGCAGTGCTTAAGTATTATAACACTAGAGCTGGTGATGATTTTCATCAGATCATAGTTATACTATTAGCTCCAACTGGTAAAGCTTAAGGGTGACACTCTTCATAGCACTCTGGCCATTCCTGCCAATCAATCGCTGAGAAATTACAAACAGCTTGATTCAAGTAGACTAAACACTTTGAGAAGTCAATTGATTTTTGTTGATGAAATCTCAATGGTAGGAAATGGTATGTTTGCAATACAGCTAAACAATAGGCTTAAAGATATAAAAGGCTGTAGAGAGGATTTTGGAGGTGTGAGCATAATTGCTATTGGTGACTTATTCCAATTAGAATCTGTTATGGATGCTTATATTTTCAAAGACCTCAAAAATGTAGATTTATGCTGTTCTTTCTCCCAGTTTATGGCATAAACACTTTAAAATGTTTGAACTTAATGAAATCATGGGTCAAAGAGACAGCAAATTGTTTGTAGAATTACTTAATGGGTTGCGTAAAGGTAAACACACAATAGCTGACATTGCAAAACTTAAAGAGAGCTATACAAGAAGACATCAACAACCCAATAGATGCAGCTCACCTATTAATACAGAATGCTAAAGTAGATGAATTTAAACAAAGGGCCCATAATGCAGCCACAGGAAACAAATTCACAATAAATGCACAAGATAGTGTTATTGGAGCTATCTCACCAGAGCTAAGAAACAAAATACTAAGACAAATACCCAATGATCCAAGAAAAACAAAACAGTTAGCCTCAACCCTTTGTCTTGCTGAGGGTGAAAGAAAACACCTTGTCATGAATGTACAAACCGAAGATGGCATGACAAATGGTGCTGGAAATGTTGTTAAACTAGTTCAGTTACATCAACAAACCAAACCATCTGGTATTGTATGGGTACAATTTGACCACTCAGATGTAGGTCAGAAAACAAGGAATGAAAAAAGACATTTGTATGTACAATGAATTGAACACACATGGACCCCAGTAAACCCTGTGACTACACAGTTTGCAGTAGGTAGAAACAGAACAGCACAAGTTGTTAGAAAACAATTTCCACTGCGTCCCGCAGCAGCAAAAACAATTCACAGGTCACAAGGTGATACTGACAGTAGAATTGTTGTGGATTTTAGTACCAGAAATACTATTCCACACATACATTATATGGGACTCAGTAGAGTGATTGCTATAGAAGGCCTATATATTTCTGATTTGTGTGAAAGCAAGATTGCTGTTAATCCAGATGGAGAGATTAAGAACAACTGCAAAACTTAAGCTTTGCATCTCCCTCTCCATGACATAACATTTTCCCTTCTTAAACTGTGTTATCTTAATGTAAGGTCTCTTCACAAACACATAGAAGATATACGTAAAGACTTAATTTATCTAGGTGCTGATATCAATATTTTCACAGAAACAAGATTTAATTCTCAAGATAATAATGACATGTATGACATTGCTGGTTATGTTCTCATCTGTAATGATAACCTTAATTCCAGCAATGGATCAAGGTCTTATGGTGGTACAGCTGTGTACAGTAAAATCCCATACTTAACTGGATACCC